TATGTCCTGTTGGTAACACGAACCACATAGTGCCAAGTGGCAAGACCCGATATTCGTCTCCAATATCTCGTGTGGCCGAACGAGTTAAACAGGACAATTTTATGTCCTGTTTAAATTAATTTCGCTCCGTGTCTTCATGAACAGCATTGCTACCATCAATCCCCATTAATCTTCTTTCAGCAGCAATGGCAGCAGCCACAGAAGCCGGAAGATCCCTCAAACCTCTCTGGTTTCTCGTCGTCTGATTTTCCGTACCGCCAGCTGGCGCCACTCGGAATAAGGACTCGACATCCTTTAGCGTCAGGCAAGGCTGGTCTTGGTTTTTTCTATTCCCGCTGATAAACGAGCTTGTGTTCCGGCTCTTGTTCAGTTTATATATGCTTTCCTCCACAGTATCCTTCACCTGTCGAGACATTATATTCTCGGTCATTTTTTTTAACAAATTTGTAAGACTCTTTTTCTTTGTTTGGGTCGAGCTTCACTCATTAATACCAAGTCCACGTCGAAATTTACAAAACTTCACAATGGAAAACAGTGAGGCACTTTATATTGCAGCCTTTCGGTTCGAAAAATGGTTGAATTCACAAAAAAACCACCCGAGAAATCGTGATATGGGTCATTTACAAGAAAGTCCAGAAATTCAAAATTTTAGAAAAAAAAAAAAGAATACCCGAGTTTGATTTATCCTTTAGATTTAGGAGTATCGGTAATATATGTACAAATGTAAGAGGCTAAAGTTCAATATAAAATGAAAAAACCCAAATTTTCTTTTAAAGAGAAAAAAAAACTTACTATAAAACGGTGAACGAGAGTTTTATGCTCCTGCCCTATTCGGTGCACTCTGCCGACTGCTTGTGCCTCGGCTGCTGGATTAAGAAGTGGCTCGACGAGAATAACATGCTGAGCCTCCAAAAGGTTAAGCCCATTTGCTCCGTGTTGGATTAAGAGTAGCAGCACTTGGGGAGATTTTGTAGCTACATTATTATTATTTTCAGGCTTTTTACCGTTTTCTTTGGCAGGGCTCTTGTGCCCTCTAAACTGGCTGACCGCAATTTGTGATTTCCTACAGAGTGAAAAGGTAAAAATGAACCAAGACGAATTGAAACGATACAGTGATAAAATAGTTTCTAATTAATGAGCATTTTCAGGTAAAGCCAGCATCAATGCATATATCAACAATTTGTGTGCTACTTTGGTTCGTTCATTTAATGTTTTTTTGCCTGATAATAAGCAAGTCAGTTGAATTTTGCAAGGTTAACTCTTAAGGTGAACTTCATAAGTTCAATCGAAAAATGAGAAGCGAAAGTCACATGAGATCTTCAAAAGTCAAAGTTACAGCTTTCGGCTTTTGAGAAAATATCAGAATATAACCAACAAAAGCATTTACCTTCCGCCCTTCATCCGAACATAGTTTATGCTATTTGCAGCAAAGGCATGTTGTAACACATCGAGGACATCATTCCAACTTGAAAACACGAGAATCTTCGATTTGGGATCTGCCGAACCAATCCACAAAATTCTCCTTGTCACGGCCTCAATCTGCAAATTACAGCCACATAATANGCGTAAATTAAATGTTCAAGTTCTTCATTCCAAATCCCTTAAAAACCAAAGAGTTACTTAATGAATCCATTCTATATAAAAACCAAAGAGATAAGAAACTGATAATCTGCTAGGCAAAGGAGTAAAATCATTAGGCATGCTTGTTGTCATTAAGTTAATTGTTAATAAAAGATTTATTACCTTTGTACTATATGAACCTTGGACGGTGATGGAAGCTTCAGATTTATCGGACATTTCACATGAATCATTTTGTTTATCGTCAGCAAGAGCAATATTTCCAAAATCAGTAGATTGCCGGCATGTTGGGCACATTACCAACTTAGTATTATTGTGTTTTGCAAGAGGAGTCGATTTTCTCTCTGTTATTGCGAGTAAACCTGCGAGAAATTATCATCATAAAGAGCATTACAAGCCAAAATAGCAACTAATACCAAAGAATATTGCTTTAACAATATCAAGTTTAAACAANAAGTCATTTTCTTTTTGAATACCAGCTATAACACGTTAGTCTCAATTGTAATTATTTCCACTTCTTCAGTCATATTTGTTTTTTGTAAACCAGAAATAGAAGAAAACATGAACAATCGTGAGGAACTAACTCTGAACAGTCGATACTTGTTGAAGACCAATTTAGTGGTGATGAAAACTTACATTTACAGCATGTGAAATGTCCACATTGAAATACCATTTTCTGATTACCCAGCTTCTCTTGACAAACTGGGCATGATACTGCATCTACTCTTGAAATGCTTCCATTGGCTGAGGGCAATGTGGCTTCACTTACAGACAAAGTAACCGGGCTTTCTGATTTCGATTGTTGATTTGATTGTGCCAAACCCTGGCAAAGGATATTCACATAGAAGTGATAAGTAGAAGAAGCTCCCATTTAGGCACAATGAGCTAGATAACAGACAAAAATAGATTTTTAAGCATATACCACAAGTCATAAATTTGTTTATTTGTTTCTAGCGGGAAGTATGATTTAGAGAAAAAAACATTAAATATCGTAAACAAATAAAAAGTGGATTTTTACCTTCAAGTAGCGGAGTTGCCCTTTTATACGTGACAATGAACCTAACGCTATAAACTTTTCGCTAGAGTTTTCAACACTAGCTATATCCAATTCTTCTGAACTTAAAGCATCAATAGATTTATCATCCTCGTTTTCTCTAAGGCGTAACCTTGACGTAGCCATCATAAGTTCATCATGAGCACGAAAAACTTGTGCCTGAGCAATTGCTAAAGATCTCGCTAGAGCATACTCCTTGCGCAGGGCCTGAAATTTTTTAGAGAAATACAAACAATAAAAGATGTACCATCAAAATTTTGAATTATCCAATCTCCAAATTTAAGTGAATAAAAGTCAAAACCACTTCATGAGTAGCAATCTCTCGTGCAATTTGGGAAGACCAGAGAAAAATATATTTACCATACCTCAAGAAGATCAAGCTGCTTTCTTGCTGTCAACATTATCTCGCTTTCAAGGATTCCCCTGGAGCTGTTTCTGATTATCGTCAGCACAATCTCCAAGTCAGATGGTGACTTTGACACCTGCAAGAACAATCATACAAATGAAAATTATAAGAATTTGCTTTGACTAAAACTCAGGTCAAATTTATCACATCCGTACACATTATGCTAATATACAAGAATACATAAGTCCAGATCAATTTTAACAGTGCTTTTAGATAGGTTATTTGGTTTAAAAAATATGGACCCTCAGCATATAGTGGTGCAGTTACCAAAATTGACAAAAACTATGAAATTTAAAGATCAGTAATTATACCAAAAAAAAAAGAAAAAAAAGAACAACGGCAAGCTGTAAAACGGTTCGATCAATTTACAAAGAGCCAGAACGAAATAAGATTCCACAAAGCAGATAATGCAATAACTAACCGTCACTTTCTCCCCCGCATCCCTCTTCTTTACATCATCTTTGTGTTCGGCAGACGAACTAGAACTTTTGTCTTCACGTGACAAATTCCAAAAGAATTGATTCAGAGCAGATTTCTTCTTTTGCAGATTCACTGCCTCTTCAACAGATGTAATCATATCACCGTTATTGCTTTTGTTGAGACGAAATAGTGTAGCTTCATAAACCTAGTCAGAGCCAATTGGCAAGTTAAAAAAATGCACATGCCATGAAGAGTTTGCAAAAGGAGACGATTTATGCAAAGATACAAACCTGAAACATTTCATCCAACTCACAGTGCGTACATGCAGGACCATCATAATTAGAGTTGCACTTTTTGCAGTATCTCACAAGTGCAATATCCTCTTCCCTGGGATTTTCCATCGTTTGGTCTATTTCCAACAGTCGATCAAGTAGAGTTCTTCTCGACCCTTCCAGAGCATCCAAACCAGTTTGAATGTAGTATTTTAGAGTTGGTATGCTGCGGAAGCTGTTTAAAACACAAAAGAATGTATTTTTGTTATTGGTAAACTTATAACTGTGTGTGGCAGGTGACTGAGGAGAAATGAGAACAAGTGAACATCATAAACATCGTTCAGTCCAAGAACATTCTCCACATAGGCTTATAACTGAGCATATTATCCCTGGTCATTTTTTCTGTAACATGAAATGGTGAAAAGAGGTGACCTATCCAATGGAAAGTGTCATAGTGCGCGAAATAGCTCGAAAATCATGCTTATAACAGGGATTGAGTCAGGACTTCTATTTTTTCTTAATCTCTGGTGAAGAAAAAGTAAAAAAGCAAATTGATAAATTTTTTATGAAAGAAAAATTTTAATGGTGGGTATTTGGAATTATCTCACCAACTTGACAATCGTAGAAAAAGCAAATTGATAGATTTTTTATGAAAGAAAATTTTAAATGGTGGGTATTACCTCACCAACTTGAAAATCGTAAGAGCTTTAAATGCCTTGTTCAATTACAATTTCTTAATCCCTTGATACACAACCCAAAAAGATGAGCACATAGGGACTTCGAGCTCAACATACATAATGTCACCATCTCAGACAAACTCGCGCTCCATGTACAAACTGTTAACTTCATAATCAATCATCACGGACAAACAATTTCCAATGACATGTCAAACTGAACTAGTACAGACAAAGCAATTATGATGGGAATACTTTGAAACCAGAAAGCAGCCATCACTAACCAGGAAGGAATTCTTGATCTTTTGTCCAAGTTGCTAGAAAGAGATTCTCCTATTTTCTGTATCAGGGCATTAGATGAATCCTTGTCTTGCTCAATGTGATGCAGGGCATCTAACCACCAAGTTGCGTTCTGATTTTCCCTTTCTGTCAAATAATCATGAACCTGAGAGAGAGAGAGAGAGAGAGAGAGAGAGAATCTCAGTCCAGAGAAAACTAACAACCATTCAAAATGTTAAAACTATATGCAGATAAGACAACTGACTCAAAAAATAATCGCAGAGAAAATAAAACAATAAAGTTGCACGCAGATTAAATTTTAACAACGATAGAGGACAAAATGTATATGCATGCTCGTTCAACACTTCTGAGTTCCTAACTAAGGGAGTACGTCAATCCACATAAAACTGTCAACTTGCCTTAAATGCACCAAAATGTGCTGCATATCAACAGAATGAGAATCTTGAATGCTGAAATAGTACCAAGAGAAGTTCAAAATGTACCATGTCAAATGCAATAATGAATATAGTAAACAAACAGGAGATTTTGAAATAGCTAGAGCTAACCTGTTCATAAATTCTCCTAAACTCCGCCTGAGCAGCGAATAGCTTTGATGTAAATATAGACAAGAACTTGTGTTTTAGCTCTTCACATGCCCGTTGTAAGCATTGAACACAATTCGACACATGCTGCTGAACATTGCAACTTGAATCACCATTACTCAACAAGCATGATGGAGAAGTAGGTGAATTTTTAGAAACTATCTTCACATTGGAATTATTATTAATCACACCATGCCCCTTGGCAGCATGATTATCCTTTTCGTCACAAGTCCCAGAGATTAATTTCTCAATATTGGAAACAGATTCCTGTTGAAAGATGTTGTCGGTGAGTGGTAATGCTTCAGCAAGATTATGATGAATGTGAATGTTCAACAGAGGATCCAATCTGAAATCGCCCGAGTGCCCTTCAGCCAAATCAAGTGCCTCCTTGTACAAAGATACCGCTTGAGAAAAATCTTGCTTGATTATGGCTATGCCCGCAAGTCCATTTAATGCGACGACTAATTTTCTAAGGGCATCCTCGCCTTCTACCTTTGTCTTTCCAATAAGAACCTGCAGGAATAAGATCATAATAATTAAAGGAAACAGCGAAAACAAACTGTTGAAGAAAATGACAAAAACGATAGTTTTGTACTCAGAGACCAACTATAAACCCACCGATAATATCTCCTCCATGGTCATGGGGGACTTCTGCAAAGTACGTAAACCAGAACTTCCTACTTGAGGATGGCAGCACGCTTGGCGAAGCTTTAAGAGAGAGTTAAACAGCTTTGCAGCATCCGCATTGGTGACATAAGGATCAAACGAGATATCGGACACGGAATCTGAGAAAGAACATTAAACGACATTATGGATACTCGAAGCAGGAAGAAATCTGTATTTTGCTAAAGATACATCTTATATGGTTAACAGTCCACAAATCATATTGGATGATGTGAATTTATCCAGAAACCTGCTTTTTTAAAGTTTTCAACTACTTCTCGAGCATCATCCACACACGTCTCGTGTTGTCTCTGGTAGAAGTGCTGTTCAATGGGTGAGAGAGTGAGCCAAGAAACACCTTCTTCCTGGGGAGGAAGTTGCAGTTCATCCGAAACATGAGCCTTCGAGGAGCGCCACATAATTTTCTTAAAGAAATTATGCGTGAAAGTCATTGCTCGTACATCTCCCCTCTGCAACATTAGGCAGGAAAGTGTATATTAACTTGCCAGACTTTTCAAAGCAGTCGATCAAGAGTAAAAAGTACCCACGAGACCGCAACCACAACCAGCATAACTAAAGGCTCAGGAGACATCAGTCAAGCATAAATAACAAAAATGAGTTAAAAAAGAATGTTTGATTCATTTTACTATAAATTTTCTCCCACATTCTACACATAAATCTTAAGCAAACAAAATGCTAACCTCGTTTTTATTTCACTAATTCCAATGACTCAAACCACTCTGCACACCCATAACATCAGAACCACCGCTACTCTTGACCTAAACATTCAAACTCAAGCACCCGTCATGTATCTTTAAAAACGATCTCAGCAATTACAACATTACCACTCCATCCAAACCAAATTATTATTGAAATAAGGACAAGCGTAAGAGCATATACAGTTAGACATCAGCCCCTGAGCAGGAGAGAGTAATTGAATGTTTCGTGAAGTAAGTTTGAGCAATCATTTCTCTCAAGTTTACAGTAGCTAGGTTCACCAACGCTGTGAAGTTCTACATTTATAATGCAAGAAAATGCAGTAATATAATAATGCTCCAGCAACAAGTCACATACTCACATGTACATCATATCACAAGTGAGATTCTGTCCACATATATATATATGCATACCTAAAACTACTGAAAGAATGACTAAACCACAAGTTCCCAATTCTCATAAAACTTAGTGGCTACGAGCAAGTACTCAACAGATTGGCGCTTCCTACATGTGCCATGACTTTTTAGAAGATATGTAATATTCGAGATTTACAAATTGAACAAGAATCAGGACTACAATATTTCTATACCTCATATGGATTAGAAATAACGTCAATCCACCAACGGAGGACATTGAACGGGCTTGCTTGAAGAAATCTCAGAAGCCCATAAAGGTCATCAAGTTTTCGTTGTATGGGAGTTCCTGTTATACACCAGCGATGTTTTGCATGTAGACGTAGTGCCAATTCTGTTGCAGCAGCAGCATTACCCTCCACCATTTGAGCTTCATCCAAACATATTCTCCACCAAATGATTCTGGTTAGAAGAGTTGGAACAACTGGGTATCTGTAACATAAACCAGATTACCAGGGAAGTGTCACAATAAAGAAGACCCTAACCAATACAATTTACACATTCTTAAGTTGTAAAAGGAGTACTTAATTTTGTCAGACCTCTAAATAGAGTAAAAAGTCATCAGCAGTTCAATCTAACTAGCTAATGATGATGACCATGTATCAAAATATTTATAGCAAGACATTCTCCAACATACTGTGCACTTGAAAACTATAATTCCAAAAGGAAATGTTATTTACAGCTAATAAAGGGCTGAATCACCCTAATCATCAATAAACAACTAACACCAATCCTAAGAAATAATCAAAGTCTGATCATGGAATGCTCAAGGACTAGTAGTCTATTGCCATCATCTGAGAAAAGCCCGTGGTACGAACGTTTGGGAAGAAGAGGAACAGGGAAAGAAACCCACACGAAGAAACAAAAGGATCTTCAGATCTTATTGTCCTGAGTTCTGTTACATGTCCAGATAAATAAATGGTTTCCACTGTGAACATCCTCAATATTGTTTATTACAGCATTGAACAGTTTCCACAAATGTCAAAACTGCATGGCGCGTGCATAAGGAAATAATACATATCTATATAAATTGTGTATTGTATCATGTATGTGTGTACTGTAATGAAGCATCAATAAAGATAAGAAACTAAATTGTGAACAAAATAGAGAGTTCAGCTTGGTCAATGAATCATGTCAGACAACATTGTTCACATATCTTGTGCAAAATTCAGTGAGTCACAACATGTTTCCACGATAACTGGTTTCGAACTTACAACTAAGCTCTTGCTATACGTTCACAGTAAATATTTTGTTGTGGAGTACAAGACAGGCCCAGCCTTTTAGCCTCCTGATTATGCAAAAGCAAGGTCTATGTCAGATAAGTACCTTTTGCGATATCTCATAAAGCGCCGATCCCCTTCATATCTTTCAGAATCATGCGGCAAATCCTCTTTAAGCACATCATAAGTTGTCAAGACAATATCAGCCTTTAGAAGTTCTTCGATATCAATGACGGGTTCATCTGAGAAGGAAGTCTGTCGAACGCCTTCATAGATACAGATTCTTAAAGAGCCAGGTCTTGTATGGCTGCTAAGACAATAAGATTAGAAATTTGAGTATAAGCCAAAAGGAAGCAAAACAAGTTGTATGACAGAAGTGGGCACAAATAAAATAATGCAAAACAATCAACAAACATAAATAATTATTTCTCTCTCTTATGACATGGTTTTATTAATCCTTCAGAATTATTCATTTTCCAATTACAAATTTCGTAGTTTCTGTACAAAACACACGGCATCACATCCACAGTAGAACCATATGAGAGAAACCGTAAACAAATATAATTCCACAAAAAATATATTCTATGATTTACAAGAGATATCTATTTACATATCTTTATCGATAGCTTTTCCTTTTCAAACAAGATGAACACGCGTGCAAGGTGTATTGTGGACTTTTTATCCAAATTAAAAAAAGAAAAAAAAAAAGAAAAAGGGAGGTTAAAACAGCCACAGCAGCTGGTGGATCACCACTCCAAGTATTCAGGAAATGTTATCAAGACAAGCATGTGCTGAAGTACTTTATACAAAACATGAAATAAGGGTTTAGGTTCAATTGTTCAACAGACTGCAAATAAATGCATGTGCAAGAAAAGAACAAATGAGTTACCGAAGAATTTCAGCATGCCACTGGAGCAATATGGGAGTTGGACAAACAATAAGAGTTCCACCTGCAGCAATTGGAGATTCTGTTGCCTGAAACAGCTCTAAGCATGTCTGACATATATAGTCATCATTCTTCTCAATCACTTCACTACCAGTCTTTCTTCTTTTATTCTTCCCTGAGTTTTCAATTGAGTGCTCCTCACATGTGTCTCCTCCCGATTTCGGAGTCTTTCTTTCCAGAGAATACCCAACACAATCTGCATGTTGCCAAGCGTCACAAAAATCACACTGCACCCACAAACCTCCATATCTATAGCTATCAGTTACAGCTCCACATACGCACTCAACCCGCTCCCTTTTCAGTCTTTTCAAATTAACTTTTTGAGTTCTCTCCACTTCCATTGCCTCAAAACCACTAGCAACTTCAGACGATGGCATCCGATGAGCAAAAACACAGCATAGCAGCTCAATAGTTTTCCCCAGGCCCATCTCATCTATTTTTTTTTTCCAGAGCAACATAACAACAAGAATTAGCACATTAATTTGATCTTTTTTTCCACCAAAAACAAAATATAAAAGTAAGACAACACCGGAATGAATCATGGTTTAGCTTTTGTAGAAAAGTTATACTTTTTTATATTATAACCACAAACAGCAAGAAACGTTTCTCAATATTATATATGTGTGTGTGTGTGTGTGTGCGTGTTTAATATTACAATAACTCATCAACAGTGCAAACACAACTCTTTACAAGCAGTATACACACTTTCTACTCCAAAGACAAGAAAATACAAATTCAAAAGTACCTTATGACTGAACCGACAAAGCATGACCTAATTGTGGCAACAGTAGTTGAGAAAGTTCACATACCAGCTAGAATTCCACCAGGAACATACGAGGAACAATGAGCAGCATGCAGTGAAATGTTCCCACTGACGCATAATAAAACATTCATTAGCAGATATACTCTTTTGTTTAATTGGATTCCTCAGACGAGGCAAAAAAAAGGATATGAACATAAATATCAATTCCCTCATACATTTTAACGATCCCCTTTTCCTATCATCTTTTTGTGAATATTCTTCTAGGACCCCTTGAACTATAACAAATTAGTATTCTTTATACTCTCACAATCACTGCTGTGCAAAGATTCAAGCGACCAAAATTATGATAATAATGCAGAAGTCTGCAGTGCAGGATTGGTTAGACTGAATGACTGGATGAAAATCAACCAAAATTTCTTAATTTCACAAATAAAATAAGAATATGGAACCAGCAATACATCTAAACATAATGCTTGGCGAATCACTTTCTTGTTTTAAAGAGGCATACTCAGACAGAGAAGCAAGGAAAGCATGTAACATCTAAAACTAAATTGTAAGAGTACCACATAGAATCTGCCAATATACAACTATTGATGAGAAAACCCCACATCTAGCACATTTTTGCACCAAAAACTTACATAGGTTCACATCTTTGATCATTAGAAATGCAAGTTCCAGATAAATCAGAAGTTAAAAAAAATAAAATAAAAATGAAGAAATTCATTTCATGTAAAGATGAAGATACCACCGTGATTTTTGTATAAAAACATTTATCATACTCAAGAAACATAAAATGTGCTTAGGGAAAAGGTGAAGGCATACCTAAATGGGTTGTAAAAAATTCTCCCTGAGGTGTTGATCAAATTTAGAGGCACACATAAAGGAGCCAAAGCCCAACTTGTCTCACTCCCATCTAAATGTTCAAAATCACATTTCTCTCGCTTTATCATCCAATACGCCGCACGACGCTGGTAAGGCCGCAGTTCAGGAAGCAAGTCGGGAAGGTGATCTTCCAGCATTGGCTCCTCCCTGTTGTAGAAAACCATCAACTGAGTCCCACTACAGACACTACAAAAGATAAAGCTAAAAAACCTCAATAAAGGAAAGTCAACTTCTCATCAATACTCACTTTGATGGCTTAATAGCTTCATAAAAGCTGGAAACTTCAAACCTAACTTGTTTTCTTGAAGCAGAAGATTCATCATCATCAGCCACAAGAGGTGTGTCAATATCCATATTTCCTACAGCATCATATCCATATCTAAATTCTGAGGTCATAACTTCCGGACGAAGCCAAGAAATAACACTCATCATACTTCTTTTCCATAGCTGCCTTGTATTTTCAAGAAGGGACCCACACTCATCAAATGCACGTTGCAGAATCTCAATTCTTACACGTATGGATGACATGTCCTCCAAAGCCTCATTTTCCAAGACTGGCCTAACGGACAAGTACTTCAAGCTAACCAAGTGAACGAGTCCTGTGACTCCTTCATCCGGCCCGTCCACAGTCCCAGACACCATCAAAACATCTCTTTCGGATCCCTCTACTTCACATTTCATCACAAACTCCAAACAAGTATTGCTCTCGGTCAAAACTGGCCAGTGTCCCAATTTCATCCGAGCAAGATGCTCGTTCACATTGCTTAATCTGAACCTTAAGCAGAACCTTGCATCCCGTTGAAACTCCTCGGCCAGTTTATAGCCGGAAAACTCCTCACTCACCCTCAAATTAAGCAAAACAACTTCAGATACGTCATAGTGCTCCTCAGAAACCCAGCTGGACTTATCGATTTCAACAAAAAATGGTTCCTCAATATTGGCTGACTCGATCTTTTCATGCTGGGCATCACTATCTCCGTTAATTTTCGATTCTGGTGTCGGCCTTTCTAATACTCCCCCAGACCTGTGTGGCCGAATTTGCTTCCTTCTACCCATAACTACAACAGAATACAAATTTACAATAAATTGTACGGATATGGGAAACAGAGACATGAAATAACTAATTTAAACGCCAGAAAAAATGCAATCTTCTGATCCTAAAAGCAAAAAACTCAGTTTCATCAATGAATTTTTGAAGAATTACATGGTTTTCAGCTCTTACGCAGATGTAACTGCGAGCAATTCATATATTCAAATGCGCACACAAGCAAAGATAGTATTTTTATTTTCTTCTTTGATAGAGTTTGAAGTGAAACCTGGGAATTTTCCTCAAACCTCCCTTTTTTTTCTGTATGCAGATTATGGAACGCAAATGAAGAGAGGCGGTATTCGAAAATCCTCATACGAGTGTCATTTCGAACTGTGGACTACGACGGCGTTGCGGTGGCTTACGGCGGCGAGGCGAAGCAATTTTATTCGTTAAAATTTTCAGAGTTCGTGCGAAACAAAATAAAACAAAATGACTTGGGATTTGGAGTCCCGTAATCTACTGGGTACTTTGCAACGGTTTATATGTTGGGTGTACCATTGGTGAAATTATTTATATAGCCAACCTTTTGCCTATGTTCTTAAAACAACATACCTTTATAATTTTTTTAATTTTTTTTTTCTAACATAACTTTATAGGTTAAATTGCAGGTTATTTCAACCTTTGATGCGTTTGCAATTTAGTAGTAACTTTTCAATTTACGTAATAATAGGCACTACATTTTTTATTTTTGAAAATTAAAGCATACATTCAATAAATCGACTATCAAACATTTACGTGTCTGGCTCATTATCTAAAATTTCAATATGTATGTGACTCATTATTTGAAATTTCAACTCATTCATACACACTTTAATTGGGTGTGATTGTCAACATATTCAAATAGCTACACCGACGAGATAATATGGGTCATGGACAACAAAATGCAATGAAGTTCCAAAGTTTAAGGTTTGTATAATATCGTCTATAACTCTAATGTAGTTTTTACTTTTTCTCGTTTGTAACACGCATGTAGTATTCCTTTCTCCACGTTAAATAGCTATTCGAACAAGTATGTGATGCCCGATTTGTCGACAATGTATTTCATTTTGCAGAAATCAAAAGTTTGTCTGTTATTGTTACGAACTTTAGGATTTTGGATTAATTATACATTCACATATAAAAATGTGCATATATATAAACTTATGGTCTTTATTATATATGATATGAGTTCGGCTGTATCACAAAATTGAAAATACTGGCAGTAAAGGCTACCCCACGAACGTTCGTCGGATAGCAACCCATGCACCGGCGTGTGTGGCTTACACACGCGGATTCCAACAGCGGATTTTACCAGGACAGTTGATCCAAGGCAGCAAGTTGACTATTACAAGTTTGTCGTGTTTGCCAGGATCACGAACAAAAAATGTCTTCAAAATTTCACATTATTGATACACATTTACTTACAACAAGTTAAGCAGTATGATAGTAAACATCAGAAAGTACGTTAATAGCACTTTGTAATGTTTCTAAAAAATTCTAAGTATTTGAGAATTTAACCAATCAGTGATATCAATAGTGACATCACAATCTTTAAGTTGATAACTATGAACAAAATTTTCTAATCGTACACTAAATTTATTCATTTACATTAATATTTTATAAGTTGAATTCCAAAGTTATGCTACAAAACTTCCCCTTACCTTGAGAATTAAAGTATTTCTAGTTCTCTTATTTTATTTATATTTGATATGAGATATTATACTAGATCGACTTTAATGGATAAGAAGGAATATATTGGATAATAAATTCACATATGGGCTAGGACACATGACATAATGGTATGGGCCAAATTCAACTTGGGTACTAAGGTACAACCCCTATATAAAAGGGGGCTAAGGTATCTCAAAATCTCATTCTCTCTACATTCATTACTACACTCTCATTTTGCACTCTTGATTTGCAGCGAGTGCTGACTTAGATATCGGAGGCCCGACACCGGGACCCCCCAGTATTTGGTTCTTGTAGGTACGAAGGCCGTCCGAGTTAAAGGAGCTCGGATGAAGTCCATTTCACCAACAAAAATCATTGGAGAAAAGGGAGTCTACAGAAGCTTGAAGAACTCGTTAATGGTGGAAGTCAATTTTTGCTCTGGAAATATCGAAGCTCCAAAAATTTTCTAAAACCCCGTATATATACGGAAGGCCCGACAAAATAGGTAACGCCANCCTGTCCACATTCTAAATTCAAAAAACCGAACTTTTCGCATTCAAAAGTTTGAAAATGAATCTACGGTCAGATTCAACGCCACGTGGATGGGCGATCAAAACAACACGACTTTTCAGAAAGGAAACCCACGCGTTTTAGACACGTCGTAATTAATGTGTCTCTTCATATTTCGTCACAGTACATTGAGAATCTGCGCGACTTAGATGCATGCGTCCTATTGAGGGTAGATCTCGGCCAACCCATATGTCATCTCTAAGAAAGATGGCCTCAGAAGAAATGTCACACCCCTTTCATCGAGCTCGAGGGTCTGTATGTTGGCATCCGAGTTGGAAAGTATAAATCCATAGCTTAACACTCTTAATGGGATAACTTATCCTGGAAAGCAGAGCTTTTAGGTCGGTCCTCCTAGACCCGACGTCCAGGTCGGCCCCTCCAGTTGTGGGCGGTCTGTTTCTGGAAATAGGCATACAACAATAAAACAAGCAAGGCAATGAGACAGTTCGAGCTCGAAGCAAGAAGATGTCCGAGCTCATGGCAAGAAGGAAGAGACCTAACCTCAAGGCGAGACTGGAGTCTGACCTCGGAGATCCTGGAGGTTGGACCTCGAAGCACACTCAGAATCGGGAAGTAATAAAATAGTGCAACTTCCAATCCAATGATGACCGATGGGATGTGCCCAC